TTTTTTTTTTTTTTTTTAAGGGGTAATGATTTAATGTTCTCAAACATGGCCTCTAGAGCTAGACATTATGCATTAAAATTCTCTTCCCACCACTAACTAGTTGGCTAACCTTGGACCACTTATTTAACCTTTCTGGCCCACTTTACCTGTTTTCCCTCAAATCCAAATCTGCCTTCTCAGCGCTTACACTCTGACATCAATCTTCTGGGGGCAGAAGAAACACACCAAGCAACATGAACACCAAGCATGCTTGTCCCAATGCCTCGAAAGAGCCTGTCCTCGAAAGGCAATTTATAACCGTGGCAACAGCCCTGAGACAGGCCGAATGTGGAAAGAGTCCAAAGAGGGAGTGTGAGTGAGAAAAGAATGAGAGCCAACCAACCTTGAAGTGGACCTGAGCCACATTAGCAATCCAACCAGAGAAGAGACATAAATGAGAAACAAGATTGAAGGCAACGCTTGCCTTTTCCCGGCTCCTGAGAAAAAGAACAACTCTAAGAAGTCACCCTTCAGTCCTCTCTAACTGTAACCCAGCCAATAAAATGTCTTCAGAGCTGAGGTGACCTTATTCAACCTTGCGGGAGACTGTGCCAAATCTGGAAATCAAAGGGTGTAGTCACATATGCTTTTACCACCAACTGACCAAATATCAACTTGCCTAAAGTCAGCTCATCAAAATCAATGTGCACAATGATCAGTGTAATTAATTAAAAGCTGAAACATCGATCATCAACTTGCTGAATGAGCAATTGAATGGACACTGACCGACCAGCATTTTACAGCAGGTTTAGCACTGTTTTCTGCTTCTAGAGGTGGAGCTCACACAGCGTTAGAGCAGGCAGGGCCATTATGGTCAACCAGAGAATGTGTGGGACGTTGTACTTAGCTCCAGCTCCTGGCTGCCACGCAGGCATGGACCGGGGTGCTGCCCAGTTTTCACATGAAGGCTGAATTGGATTTTGATGTGACATTTGCATTTTGTCAAATACTTAAAACTGTACAACACAATAAAACAAACACTGTTCAGGCCACATGCACCCCACATGTGGGCTTGACTCTTTCTGTGTGCCTGCAGTCTCGCGGTGAAATACCGGGCAAGTGCGTACACAGTCTCATGCTTTCAACTATGTGAGCATGACCCAAAGCTCACAATGTACAGTAATTTGTAATTTTGCTGAGGCACAAACTGTATCCCACATGCTCCATGGTTGACTTCTGAGTGTGATTTACTTAGCTAGGGAATGTGCTTTGTTTTCTGCCCTGTTTCTACAAAGTCAGTGTGACTTTTTTTTTTTTTAAGTCAACTTTGAATGCAGAATAACACTCATGCAATAAATAAGCTTCTACTCTAAAAAAGGGCTGTGGGAGTCAGCAGAGGTAGTTTGTTTCTAATGTTGGAGAAAGAACTGAAGAGAAAGTGAAAGAGGTCTATTAAATATTTAATTGGAAAATAGTTTGAGGTAGAATTTAATGAGTGGAGTGCAGCAATGGGAATTTTGAATGGAAAGAATCAGTATTTTTCAGGTCCTGGTAATAAGAATTGTGTAAGAAGTATAAAGAAATGACTTGAAAATTTCCGTTCTACTTTATTCATTTTACAGTAAAATTTATATGTGATGGAGTATTTTTTAAATATTCATTTAAAACTTTAAATATTAATTAAATATTTTTGAGAGCTGATGGGTAACTCTTAGGAGTCTCAAAAACTATGCGATGCTGTATAAGTTATTCTAAATTCTTTTTAATGTTTAGATCCTTCAAATAGATCGTTGAAGGCAGTTACTGCTCTCTCTTCTTCTTTTTCTTTCTGCTAGTTACTTTCATATTTCTACTACAATGTTCTGTTCATAGGAGGTTCTTGATAAACTGAATGCGTTGAATTATTTAAAGGTGTCTTCCATTTTTAAACATTTATGGCTTAATATTTTTTTCTATCAAATTGAGAAATTGTGAATGTGCCTTGGGTAGTGAAAGGGGAATGTAAAAAATGTACTCTGTTTTTAACACCCAAACAATAGAGTCCATAATTTGAAATTCTTTCTTTGCATATTCATAGCTTCTTAAAATATTTAGTTGAGTATATTAAGACATTTCTTCTAAGTTTATAATGTTTCTTGGGCTAGAAATAATTTTGAATGACACAGTCTTTATGTTTTTCCTTTTGAACACATCAAGGATTTTGGTTGAAAATGCCAGATGGCCTGGCCAGTGTGGTTCAGTGGTTAAGCGGCAATCTATGAACCAGGAGGTCACAGTTCAATTCCAGGTCTGAGCTCATGTCCGGGTCTTGGGCTTGATCCCAGTAGAGGGTGTGCAGGAGGCAGCCGATCAATGATTCTTTCTCATTATTGAGTAGAGGCCCAGTGCATGACATTCGTGCACTGGGGGTGAGGGAAGTCCCTCAGCCCAGTCTGTACCCTCTCACAGTCTGGGACCCTTCAGGACATGTCTGCCTGTCATTGAGGCAGGAGAGGATCCTGCCACCACCACCAGGAGTGAGCCAGGCTTCTGGCTGATTGGTGCTCCCTTTGTGGGAGCGCACTGACTACCAGAGGGCAGCTCCTGCATTGAGCATCTGCTCCCTGGTGGCCAGTGGGCATCATAGTGACCAGTTGTTCCGCTGTTTGGTTGATTTACATGTTAACCTTTTATTATATAGGATGCATCTATCTCTCTCCCTCTCCTTTCCTCTCTGAAATCAATAAAGATTTTTTAAATGCCAGATTTAAAGTATTGGAATCATTGGCTATTGGATTGGGCTAATGGGATATGTTTGTAGTTTCTTTAAAATGAGGGTGAGTGGAACAGGGTAGACCCTTCAAACCTAAGGCCTGATAGCAATTACCTGTAGAGATTTCTCTCTCCTTCCCAAATCGCAGCACCATTTCTCCTTGTCCTTTGAACTGTTGGGTATCTTTCAATGTCTTGGGATACAACAAGCAAGTAGAGAATTTCTAGGACAAGAGCTCATATGTTAACTTGAGCTCAATTTCCTGGATCAGCTTTTGTTAGAAAGGTTTCTCTTCCAACAACGGAACAATTACAGAGGAACCAATAGCCCAGACAGCACAGAGCTTCTCAACTTGTAAAAGACTTGGTTAGTGAAGAGTGGAATTTCATTCCTAATTATCACAGTTCCTTATTAAGTTTTATTTTTTCTCCTATAAAGCCCTTCTTTGAAAGTATTATGCTCTCAAGTGAGATATTTTTCTGGGAATTAAAAAAATGTTTTTATTTATTTTTTTAAAATATTCTTTATAGAAAGAAGAAGAAAGAGAGAGAAACATCAATTGGCTGCCTCCCGAACCCACTCCAGTTGGTGATCAGGCCTGCAACTTGGACATGTGCCCTGACCAGAAATTGAACTGGCAACCTTTCAGTGCACAGGACAATACTCAACCAATTAAATCACACTGGCCAGGGCCTTCTGGGAAATTATTAGAAGATAAGATTTGGAGACATTGTTTCTCTTCTTTTTAGAGACCACTAATACTTGCTGTGGGAAATGACTTGTGAGGTCTGTCATAGTTACTCCAAGGAATGTTATGTCATGAGTGGTCAACAAAAGATCAGGTGTACAGAAATTGCTTAATTTTTTAAACTGGATTTCTATCCAAAATAAGGGAAGTTTTCCAAATAATATCAATTATTTTATACATAACCTTTTCTGGTTATTTTTTGTTTACCCGTTTGATTACCCTTTCTGAACAAATGTGTTTACTACCCTATCATGGGCTACTTACTTATTCATTAATTTGACAAAAATTTTAAAAATTTATTTTATTAAAAAAATATATTTTATTGCTTTTTTACAGAGAGGAAGGAAGAGGGATAGAAAGTTAGAAACACCAATGAGAGAGAAACATCCATCAGCTGCCTCCTGCACACCTCCTAGTGGGGATGTGCCCACAACCAAGGTACATGCCTTGACCGAAATCGAACCTGGGACCTTTCAGTCCACAGGCCGACACTCTATCTACTGAGCCAAACCAGTTAGTGCATGACAAATATTTTTAAAGCACCAATTTTATGTAAGGCATATTGATAAAAATTTATATAAGTAAATCAAATAGAATAAGTGAAATATATGCAAATGTTAATTTTTTTTTTTTTGCAAATGTTAACTTTTAAATGTTTAAAGATTATGTGAGAATGTACTCATCTGAGATTATTTTGATAAGTTACTAGGATTTATTGGCAAAGAACTTTGTCCTTGGTGAAATAACTGAAATATCATTTGCTTTGGTCCATGTTTTACTCTGTATTTTGATCTAATTCTGTACTGTCTACAAATTTCTTTTGGACAAAAGCTGCATCTTAAATTTTTCATTGAATTTTATTTTCTGCCTACTATAATATTTCCTCTGTAAGAAATCTTATGAAAGTATATTTGATGTTTAAGACCTATGTAAAGCAATGGTGTTGCCGAAGTCCAAAAATAAATATCTAGTGTTTTAACTTATCATTATTTCCTCCCAATTTCCAAATAAGACTTTATACATTTTTTATATTTCAATTTTAGGGTTTTTTTTCCAGAAATTTTTTTTAAAATATATATTTTATTGATTTTTTACAGAGAGGAAGGGAAAGGGATAGAGAGTTAGAAACATCAATGAGAGAGAGACATCTATCAGCTGCCTCCTGCACACTCGCTACTGGGGATGTGCCCACAATCAAGGCACATGCCCTTGACTGGAATCGAATCCAGGACCTTTCAGTCCACAGGCACACGCTCTATCCACTGAGCCAAACCAGCTTCAGCCCAGAAATTTTTTGATAGTGCTTCAGATAATTGAATTTTCCTAGGGAACAATGCTAAATATAAAAATGTTAATTCTGCTAAATTAGAAAAGTTGAACTTCAAATATTGATTTTTAAATATAATCAGAATCGTTGTTGCCTGTGTTTTAGGACTAAAATAATTACATTCTTTAATCTGAAGACGTAAATGCTGCCTTTAAAAAAATCTGATAATTTTTTTCAATGCTTTTTGCTACTAGGTGACTTGGGCTCTTGGGACCTGCTCATTTGCCTGTCTTCTAGGAAAGCTGGTGGAAATCCCTGCATATCCAAGGAAGATGTGTGCCACTTAAGTTTACATCAAAAGGTAATTTTTTTCCACACATGCACAGATTGTATTAATCCTATAGATATTACCACCAACATGTCTTATTCAATAATGTTCAAAAAATTTCACCATTAGATCTATTACATGTTTGGAAAAAGTTCCAATGGTCATGCCTTATACATGTTACCATAAAATGTTCACCATTTTTGTTTGATAGAATCCCCCTCAACCCCAGCGGCTACCAATAAGGACCCATTTTACCTAAAGGGACCCAAAACTTGATTAAGAAGTCTGTAGCCTCTGGATTGTTGCTTACCCTGGCCACATGTTCACCCAAAGTAGTCAAGTCTTTATTCTCTACATCACTGTTTTAACTTTTTCAAAGTTAAAGTGATATTCTGAATTTTAATAAAACTAGAGGCCTGGTGCATGAAATTCATGCATGGGGGGGGGGTGGCCCCTCACCCCAGCCTGCACCTTCTGCTATCTGGGACATCCCTCTCACAATCCGGGACTGCTGGCTCCTAACTACTCACCTACCTGCCTGCCTGATTGCCCCTAACTGCTGCTGCCTGCCTGCCTGATCGTCCCCTCACCCCCTAACTGCTCCCCTGCCAGCCTGATTGATGCCTAACTACTCCCCTGCTGGCCCAATTGCTCCCAACTGTCCTCCCTCCTGGTTCGATCACCCCCAACTGCCCTCCCTGCCAGCTATCTTGTGGTGGCCATCTTGTGGCGACATCGCATGAGGGCATCATGCTACCTAGGTTTTTATTATATAGGATTTATACAATTTATTAATAACTTTTGAAATTGGCATTCAATCTCTACTGTTTACTTTGTGTGAATTTTTGTAAATACTTTTAGAAAAGTTAATGAAGATTTACCAAATGCCCAATAATGTGTTAGGTCACTGTGCTGGAAATATGGTCTATTTTGGTACCTATAACAAGTCTCTGAAAAAAAAAGTGTCAAAACTAATAGCTATTTTCAGTAGTAAAATAGTATTGTAGTAGCAATCCTGATCACTTGATATTTCTACAACTGACAGTCTTGATAACTCCTGTCTATTTCTGACTCTTGACTCCCTTGGCCTTTGGACTGAGCACATTGTTTTGGTCCTTCTTATATACTAGAAGCCTGGTGCACGACATTCATTCACTGGGGGATGGAGGGTGGGGCGGTCCTTCAGCCTGGTCTGTGCTCTTTCACAGTCTGGGAGTCCTTGGGGGATGTTTGACTGATGGACATCCTTAGGCTGTCAGCCGGACATTCTTAGGCTGCTGTGGGGGCAGCTGAGGCTCTCACCACCGCCACTGTGCTCGCCAGCTGTCAGCTGGCTTCTGGCTGAGTGGTGCTTCCCCTATGGGAGCGCACTGACCACCAGAGGGCAGCACCTGCGTTGAGCGTTTGCCCCCTGGTGGTCAGTGTGTGTCATAGTGACTGGTAGTTCCGACGAGGGGTCAATTTACATATTACCCTTTTATTATATATTTGGATATTTATTCTCTCTTTCTTTTTTATAGCTACTTTTCTTCTGCTCATTCTTAAATGCATGTGTTCCCTAACACCACTCCCAAAGTTTTAACTGCCATTTGTGGTTGATGATTCCCAAGTCTAAATCTAAAATTCAAAGCATTATTCTAGGCTTTGGGCTTGCATGTACCTCTCCAGGTCTGATTATCATCCCCACTCTATGCCCCACAGACACCTCAAACTCAGCATGGAGAAAAACAACTCATTGTTTTCCCCAGTAAATTTACTGTTCTTACATTTAAAAGCTTTGCTGAACTTCTGTTCTGTTAGTCATAAACATGATCAAGTCCTCTGTCATTTCCTGAGCTAGAAACCTGGCCTTCCCCTCTGAGCCCTTCCTTTTCTTTGTCATCTGCATTCCATCAGGCACTGACACAATGAAATCTAAATATTTCTCAAATATTTTACTGCAAACTGTTTCTCAAATATATCAGTACTTACTACCTTTACCCTAGCCAGGCAATCACCATGTTTTACCAAGATTATTGCTGGAGACAAATGCCACACTGAAAAGGATATAACTGAAGGGAAATTAATAAAGGAGCTATTTATAGTGGTTTTGGCAGAACAAGAGAAACACAAAAAAGATTAGAGACACAAAGAAACATCATAATGTTTCCCCCAGCTCTGGTCTGAGGAAGGGTATGAAGAAGGAAGGGTGTGGCAGATCCTAATGAGAGCTGGAAGCAAGGGAAAGAGGCCAGCAGGGGAGCTATAAGAAAGAAGCTATAAATATGGGGAAAGTCAGCTATTGAGAAATCATAGTTCTGCAAAGAGGAAGCTTGGAAGATAAGTGTCCAAACTCTATCCACTCCCATCCTCCAATCTCTTGCCAAGGCTTCCCATTGGTACCAGACATCTTTCTAAGTGCTTCCATATTTATTTATGTCCATTGTTTACATTTTAGGAGACTTAGTGAATAGAGGTTAAGAAAATCACGGGTCATAAATGAAGCAAAAAGGGTTCAAATTCAGACAGTCTGACTTCAAATTCTTTTTTCTTTACCATATCACTATAGAACTGTTCTAAAAAGATGGTTAGCCACTGCACGTATAGCATATGCTAATGAATATATTTAAAGAATACAAAAATTGCCGAAACCAGTTTGGCTCAATGGATAGAGCGTCGGCTTGGGGACTGAAAGGTCCCGGGTTCGATTCCAGTCAAGGGCATGTACCTTGGTTGTGGGCACATCCCCAGTAGGGGGTGTGCAAGAGGCTGCTGATCGATGACTCTCTCTCATTGATGTTTCTAACTCTCTATATCTCTCCCTTCCTTTCTGTACAAAATCAATAAAATATATTTAAAAAAAAATACAAAAATTATAAATGATACATGTTATACAACTGTCACTTTGGAACATAAAATAATTTGAAGCTTCATGAGCAATAACTTATTTATGTAAACATAAATATTAAAACTTACCCAAAAATTCAAGAGGGAGGAGGACTTCCTAGCTTTTTTTAGGAGGCCAGCATTATCCTAATTCCGAAACTGTATAAAAACACTACAAAGAAAGAAAATTATAGACCAATATTCCTGATGAACAGAGTTGCTAAAATCCTCAACAAAATATTAGCAAATCAAATCTAGCAATGTACTGAAAGATCAGACACTATGATATTTTTTTTTATTTCAGGGATGCAAGGCTGGTATAATATTTGCAAATCAATAAATGTGATACATCACATAAACAAGATTAAAGGTAAAAATCACATGATCAGATCAATAGATGCAGAAAAAGCATTCAACAAAATCGAGCAACCACTTTTTATAAAAACTCTTGGCAAAATAAGAATAGAGAGATCATACCTTAATATAATAAAGTCCATATAAGAAAAACCTGCACCTAACATCATACTCAATGGGCAAAACTAAAAGCAGGAACAAGCCTGGTATATTCACTTTTGCCACTTTTATGCAACATAGTACTAGAAGTCCTAGCCACAGACATCACACAGATGAAAAAAAAAAAAAAAAAAAAAAAGCATCCAAATTGGAAAAGAGAAAGTAAAACTGTCATTATTTGCAGATGACATATTTACATAAAAAACCCTAAAGATTCTACAAAAAAACTAATAGATTTAAAAAATGAATTAGGCAAGCAGCAGGATATAAAATCAACATTCAGAAATCGATGGCATTTTTATTCACCAATAATGAACTCCCAGAGAGTAAAGCCAAAACAAAAACAAAAACCACTAAAAAAATCCACAATTCCTTTTGCCATTGCAACAAAAAATATATATCAATACTTGTAATAAACTTAATCAAGGAAGTAAAAGACCTGTACTCAGAAAACTACAGGACATTGAAAAAAAGAAGTAAAGGAAGATACAAACAAATAGAAGCATATTCCATGTTCATGGATTGAAAGAATTAACATCATTAAAATGTCCATCCAATCTATGGATTCAACACAATTTCTATTAAAATACTAATGGCATATTTCACAGATCCAGAATAATATATAGAAAGTTAGCCATTGACAAATTATAACTCTGCAAAAATTTATATGGAATCAAAAAAGATCCTGAATAGCTGTTGCATCTTCAGAAAGAAGAACAAATTTGGAGGGATCACAATACCAGATATCAAATCTATATAATAAAAGCCTAAGCAACCATTATGGCGAATGACCAGAACAACAACAGGTCACTATGATGCATACTGACTACCAGGGGCAGATGCTCAATGCAGGAGCTGCCCCCTGGTGGTCAGTGTGCTCCCACAGGGGGAGTGCCGCTCAGCCAGAAGCTGGGCTCATGGGTGGGGAGCCTCTCTTGCTTCTGTGGCAGTGCTAAAGAGCAGCGAGCTGAGTGGTAAGGAGCCAGCAGGTGGGCGGTAAGGAGCAAGGGGTTCCCTGGATGTGAAAGGGCTCAGGCTGGGCTGAGGGACCCCTGCCCCACCCCCCAGTGCATGAATTTCATACACTAGGCTTCTATTAATAGTTGTACTATAAGCTCATTGTAATCAATACATCCTGGTACTGGCACAAGAACAGGCATAAAGATCAATGGAATGGAACAGAGAACCCAGAAATCAACCCAAGCCATTACACTCAATTAATATTTGACAAAGTATGCAAGAGCATTCAGTGGAGTAGATAGTCTCAATAAATAGTGTTGAGTAAATTGGACAGGTATATGCCAAAAACAAAAGTGAAACTAGATCACAACTTATACCATACACAAGAATAAACTGAAAACGGATAAAAAATTTAAATTCAAGTTGTGAAGCCATAAAAATCCTGGAAGAAAACAGACAACGGAATCTCAGACACCTCATGTGGTTGAATATTCACCTATACATCTCCTTGAACAAGAGAAACAAAGGAAAAAACTAAACAAATGGGACTACATCAAACTAAAAATCTCCTGTACAACAAAAGAAACCATCCTCGAAATGAAAAGGGAATCCACTGTATGAGAGAATATATTTGCCAATGATACATAGGCTAAGGGGTTAGTCTCCAAAATACATAAAGAAGTTAGTCAACTCAA